CATTTGAATTACATGTGTAACTAACTCTTTTTCTCTTAACCATCAGAGAGCTCCCAAAACACTACATTTGGGAAAAATGGCTAAAAAAAGGCTCTCAAGCAAATCACCACAGCACTTGATATACCCAGGATGATTTAGGTGATTTATATAGAAAGTGGTGTCCACATCAGTCTCGGGAGAAGGTGGCATTGGTGTTTAACCAGACAGCAAGGAAGTCGGGGAAAATTACCTCTCAATACAAATATACCAAATGGTGGAGAAAGTTAGAGTGCAAGCTACATTAAGCTGTCAATTCCAGATATTTACCTGCCATGGCCAAAGTGAACGTGACTTTTAGAGCCTAATGCGACAATTCAACACTCATTGACTAACTGACACCAAACAATCCAAAGTGCGGGAACTAGGAGGCTGCAAAGACCACCAGCAAACAATGTCCATCATTCCTGTCCATCATTCCCTGACTGAGCTTCAGCATAACCAGAAAGGTGTCTGCAGTTTAGAAACGATTCCTCCACAGCTCACACTGAAGAGAACAAACATAGACAAAAATGACAGGGATGAAACACTAACTCTATGAGGACAGGACAGGGTTCAGATGCGTGGTTTATAGGGTCGCCTGGAGTCGTCCTTGAGTGACGGCACCTCACAAGAACAAGTGGCATCTGTAGCAGGGGAAAGGACTAGCATGGGAATTCATTCTTTTCCACACCCCAGAAGATAAACTACAAGAAAGATCTCACTGGGAAATGAAGAAAGCCCAGCAAAAAAACAGAGGGTGTGAAAATCACAGAGAAGATTCAGCCAGGTCATTTTCAAGGGTTTGATCAGGAGATTCTGTCAATAAACCTGGAGAACCAAGGCCCCAGTTGGGCATAACAGCTCATGGTTCCTGTGGGCACACAACAACAATGATCTTAGGCATTCCGATCCTGAGTGTGGACAGGGAAAGGGCTGGGTATTAAGGGAATACGAAGTTTGGTGCCTCCTAGGGCTATTCTGAGAGCCTCCTTTTCCACCTTCACTCCTCCTGGGTGAGCGACAGTCCTCCAGAATGACGTGGGCTCCCTAGAACGTCTATCCAATGGCATCAACTCAAGGTTGAAAGACCTGACTCTCTAGGACTCACCATTTCTTTGCTCCGTCTTCTGGAGTTCAAAGGGAACCCTGTTTGTCAATACAAAGAAATCCCTTCAGGACGAGCATCTGAGTGGGAGAACACAGGACAACATGGAAGCAGATGA